AAATAAAATTAGTTGAAATTACAACCGAAATTCCTCATCTGCGTGTGATCCGCAAATGAAAAGTGTTATTTACTCACAAACATATTTAGCAGTCCGGTTTGAAAAGTGTGTTAAATAGAATTTTATTGAGTAATTCAACATTTTTTAGGATATGTTTATAAAGCATGTCGCTTACGTTTTTTAAAACAATTTAAGTTAGCAAGAAGATTTATGCAGATAACATACAATGTTCAGAAAATAAAATTAACTCTTGATTCAAATTAGAAGTTATTTAAACTGTAAGTATATTAACAAGATAATGTCTTCCAAAAAATCAAGTATGGTAAATTCTGGTTATTCACGAAAAACGATAAATAAATAACAGTACGATTTAACAAATTAATTAATATTAATGCATTTATAATCAATACTGTTAAAAAGTGTTTTTTTAATAATATTTTTGAGTATTTCATCAATTCATTTCATACATTTATCAAACCTTTGTATTAATACAATAAAAAACTTTTTATTTGCTTAAGATTCTAAATCATGATCTTAAACATAATCTACTCCGAGAATTGTAAGAAAAATGTTAAAAAAAATACTTTAAACTTAAAAGAAATGAATTTTCCCACTCTTAAAATTGATTATGTTTCAAATAGGAGTTGTCCATCGGCATAATTACCTAAGCACGACAGACTTACATTACTCCTATCGTTTATCTGGCATCTTTGACAATCCATCCATCAAGCATGATTGGATCCATCGAGCAACCCCGAATTTTGTTCCTCGGAACTCCATTTCCATCTTCACAATGCACGCAATGCCAACGCGGTAAAGTAGTGTTTTTAATAGCTAATTGAGCAAAATACTTTATGGAATGAAATTAATTATGGCTTCATGTTTTTGGACTACAAAAATTCGGCTTGTTTCACTTAGTTTCTCATTGTTCACGCAAAAGCATAAATTGTTTAATTGCTAATTAAGAATAGGAAACGGGCAACAAACGATAAATGTAATGAATTAGAAGGCGAATCGAAGGCAGTTGACATTATTTCAGTTCTAGCGTGTGACAATTCGCATTAATTACAAGAAATGCTCCAAAAAACCAGCCATTAAAGAGGGGGATGGGCAGCCAACTATATGGACAAGAAGTCGCCGGAGGGGACTCTGAAATGGCGAAATGAAAGTGCGGAGATCCCCCGACTTTCCGCATTTGGCGTGTTTTAGGCTGCTGCCGCTGTTTGCTGCTTGGACACTTGTGACATTTTCTTAATTGAAATGATGCGCGTTCGTTGATAAAATTTCGTAGCCTCCGTATATGCGAGTGTGTATACATATATATTGCCGCACTTGGACACTCTCTTGCACGTTTTGCTGATGATTATTATTACTCTTCATTATTGTTCATTATTATATGAGCGGCGTGTGTGCGTGTTTTTCGCTTTTTGTGTAGGCTTTGTGGCATGTGCGGCATGCAATATCTTATTTTGGTGGCCCGGCGAAAAGTGAGCCAATCCTCACAAGATCATCTCCAAATGGCAACGCTCAGCATATACTAAAGCGAAAATAATTGGGAATAATTTTAGTACTCAACAATTGAGGATGCTCAAAAATGTTTCCCGCTAAGAACATTCTTGGGTATCCAAAAAAAGTCACAATTTCAGTAATAAATAAGTACTTTAAATTCTTTTTTTTTTTTTAATTTAAAAGTTTGCTTTCTTTGATATTTTTAATGGTTAAATATGGATTTTTGAGACTAGTAAATAATAATAATAATAATAATACAACACAAACATTTGTGTGACCTACTAAATAGTTGAGTCAGTGCATTAATTGATTATTCATTTGCAAGCGACTTTATCTTATTAAAAGGAAGTGGTCAACTGATTTTAAAATTTCACAAATACTTGTTTCCCTTTGATTCGCCTTCTGGTTGGATGGGCAATGCATTTCCAATTGCTGTTGGCATTCGGAGAAACACACTTCCTGCATTTACGCCACCCTGCCTGTATTAGGGCAATAAAATAGCATTTTATGTTTGCACAAGTTTGCCAATTGGCCACACATCAAAAACAGCAGTGAAATCCTTTCAAGATGCCAGTGCCCGCCTCTCGAGTTCGCCTCATTTGCACAAACTTCAATGCCTTTACGGGGCATAATTATTGCTTTAATTATGCTTAATTAAAATGGCCGCCCACATGGGGAAGGCGTGGCCCAGGCAGCTGTCCAAAATACGAGGCATATAATTAAGCGTTTTGCTTTGCAGATTTTCTTTCTTTCATTTTTATGATTTGCCTACGTAAAGTGACAACGTGACGCGATCGTTGGGTATATATCTTCATTTTTTTTTTTTTGACGAGGTTACGGGGGAAATTGCAATTCTCCGCTGGCTTTTGGTTATTTTTAATGAGGTGTGTGTGTGTGTGGTGTGTTGGTTTGCCTCCTTGTTGATTTGTGCTGCAGTCGTTTTGTTGTTTTTCCGCTTCTTGTGCCACTGCATTTTTATGCGTTCGTCATCCGTTTGTCATAAACAAGAAACAGCAACTACAGCAACAACATTTAATTTATAATTTAATATCTAATCATTTTTTTTTCGTCGTCGTTGATTTTCTTTTTCACAGCTATTTGTGCATTAAAAGTTGCCGCAATGCGTTTGGCAGCAGACACGCGCATTTAATGGATTTCACTGATTTGCAGAAGATGCCACTCAAAATCCAAAAAAAAATCACAGTCAATTTAATGATGTTGATTAATTTCACAATCAAAGAAAACCGAAATTGTAAAATGGATGTTTTTACTGAAAGACCGAATAGTATGCATATTTAAAAGTATACATTTTTGTGCAGTAAACAAAGCTTAAATCGAAATAGATTGCGATTTTTTGAGCGTTGACTATAAATGCCGACGGCATTTTGAGAAATTGTGGTTCTAACTTTTGAAAAGGTATGTTTCGATTGGGGGGTCTCAAAATGTCACTGTTATTCAAAAAATGCTCAGAAAATTGTATAGGTATTTAAAATGTTTAATTTATATTGATTTATAAAACTTTCAAATCATTTTTTGAGGATATTAAATGCTATACTTATCGATTTTTAATATAAGTTATGTAATTATCAACATCAACATCAATCAAATTTAATCTCAGCTTCTGTATTACTGGCAAATAGTTGTTTTGGGTCTGAATAATTTAAACCTAGTCTTGAAGATTCAATTGAATATTACCACACAACATTGCTAAGAAAAATCCTACTCTTTCTACAACGCATCAAACCCAGTTAAGTACTTGAAAAATCTTAAATTTAAATGCAACTCATTAGGCCGCGATATGCACACGCTGAATGTCATTCCAGAGTTTGGCCATTATATTTGTGGGGGCCTTAGAGCCCAGTTAATTCTCGCTAAATAATTGCCGGCGATAACGAGGCGTGTAGAACGAGTTGGGAGCAGGGAAATAGCTAACTCTGCTTGGCAACGACAATGAAACGAGCAACAAAGAGACTAAATTCTGTATTAATTTGCAATTAATGCAGCTAATTATATTTAATTAAATGAGCGAGCCACGCTAACAATGCACTGCATAGATACTTTGTTGGGACCTGGATGCATATGAGGGGTGGTGCTGGGTTCGGTGGGATCGGTGGAAATGCTAGGGGAAGGGGCAGGGGCATGGGCATGGGCAGGGGCTTCCAAGTAGAGCTTGAGCACTGGGAAAAAAATGTAGCGCGCAGGTTGGTCCGGCTTTGAAATGAAACTGATTATTACAATTGTTGTTACGCCCGCTGGCGCTGTTGTTAGTGCGAATTGTGCGCTTGCTGCTGCTGCTGCTGCTGCTACTGTTTATTGTATCTCATAGATACGTTTATTTTCGCAAAAATGACACTGAGCCACGGCGAGTCAATTGTAATACGTTTTAGTCATTTTTCGTGGGGTGGCAGCAGTCGCAAGGCTTAGCACATTAAACTATTTATGTGTAGAGTTTCATTCTGATTTCGTTTTAGCGATCGTTTGATGAGCCTCATTGTTGCAAATTGCCACTGTCCACGTCCACAGCCGCCGTGCCGTATTATTAGTTTGTTTATGGCTATTTATTATATTTGGTTTTATTATTAGAACGTCGCAACTATTTTTGAGCCGCTCGCACAATTCGCTCATGCACATGCCCATGCTCATGCCGACGATAATGCTAATATTGATAAAATTAACGTTAATTAAAGTTATTAACCGCCTGCAGCGAATTCGCATCAATTTATTGGTTATTTCATATTACCATGTCAGGGTTGAGATTTACATAAAAATTGCATTTGGCTGTTTCGAACAGTAATCAAGTGACTGAAGTGCGTGAGAGGCTTAAAAGGTTTGATTTTTCTTAATTCTTGACGAGCTCTTCAGTTAAATGATGATTATTATTATTTATATAAAACTCATTACTTAGTATTAAATTTGGGGTCAAGTGGTTTGCAAAATAAGTTGTTCTGCTTCTAACGCAAATTTTGTATTTTAATTGACATGTTTAGCCCAGGCACTGCACAATGATTTTCTAATTTATAGAATCTAGGTCCTTGAAATACAAAACTTCCAACAAAGTACATATATTTTTTTTTCTTATATCATAATGTTCTATTAATAATACATAATGTAACCACTGGAACTAATTAAACTTAGACTGAGACTTTGAATATTGCTTATACAAAATATTCATAAAAATTATACATAATTTTAACTTAAAAAACAAAATTTATCCAGAGTATAAAGAATTTTAATTTAAATAAGTATATAACATATTATTTTTGTCTTCGGTGACTTTAAAATAACTTTCACGTTTAAGGAATAAAAATAAGGATATTGCAATGGATAGATGATGACTATTAGTATTGAAATGTCATTGTTTGACAAAAAAATCCCACTTATCGTAATTATATTTGGAAATAAGTATGCTACGATTTCCCTAACATTTAAATATATATCGAAAAAGTTAAATATCGAGATCGAAGATGAAACAAATACCAAATGTTAATTACCGTAATTTTTGTAGTTTTCTTAATCAATCAGCTGCCAATGTCAACGAAGCTCTGTCTGTTTTTCCTCTGAACAGTTGATTTTCTTGATTCCTGTTTTTCCAACACTTGCTTTTCAGCCTTTTTGTTTTTTATGTGAATTTATCTTGAAATTCTTATCACAAACTAGCACGGAATTCAAAGTATTCATGAGTATCTATGAGTAACAATGAGTATCTGATAGATAGTTTTCACTCACGCACGATCGCAACGCGCCAAAAATCTCGAACTGGGTGTTTCTCTATCGAAAATCGCGGCACAACTACTACGGAACTACTATATGGTTCAAAAGTTGCAATGATAATGAGATGTCTTGGGCACACGCCGAAGATTGTTGGCTTGCTTTGGGTGGTTGCACTTTGTTTGTTTGTTTGTTTGTTGCTTGCGTTGCGTTGCACGAGTTGAATCGTATCGACTCGAATCGAATCGCTTGAGATATGGCCGTTCGATTCCGGTTCAGATCAGCCGTCGTACGTTCAGGCGCAGCGTCGCTCGTCGACTGAATGAACGTGTGGCGCACGAGCGGCGCTTTGGACCCCCAGCAATCATAAGCATAAGTAGCAGGGGAGCAACAACAACAACACCACGCGACGGCGGCAAACACGAGCAAACAAAACGAAGGCGCAGAAACCCGAAGCTGCAGTACCAGCTCAACAGGAGCAAGCGAGAGGGCAATGAGGGAGAGCCTGCGCTCTTTCTCTCTTACTCACTCACTCATTCACTCACTCACTCACTCTCCCCCGCTGTTGTTGCAGCGACGTCGACGTTGGCTGTGCGCCGACTGCGCAGGAGCAGCAACAGTATATGCAATTTGCTTGGCGCTGTTAAAATAAAAATAATGACGTCATTAAGCGCACAAATGAGCGACGCTGCTGCCTGCAGTCAATGCCGACTGCGACGCCGGCAGCGGCAATGGCAGAGCTTATAACTGTTGTTCTGAGGAGGAGAAGTTGCACACACACTTGACGAAAAGCGAGCACTTAACGACAGCAAGAGAGGGAGCCAGAGAGCGTTAGGAAAAGGGAGAGAGTGTGGGTGAGTCGCGGTGTGAGCGCTTTTTATGAGCGCTATTTTGAGCACTTATTACAACCAAATAGTGCACTTCTTACACATCCCCTTATAACTTATTAACTTTTTGAAATCTTCGGACACTGCTCTCTATTCGTACCCACACAGCCTCCATTGCGGATGAGTTATTTTATTTTAGGGAAATTTTTCTTACACCCTAACAACAATTTATTATAAATAGAAAATCAATTCAAATTGAATGTATTTCAAAATGTATGTACTTTTAACCTGTTTTATATTCAAAATGCATGCATTTTTAAGTATACGATTTACACTAACTATAATTTGTGAGGAACCAATATTTAAAAATGAAAATTAAAATTTGAAGAGTATGTTACAAAAATGGTAATGAACTTAAATCGATAAAGTATTGAAGATCACTGGTCAACCTATTTTAAACTTGTTTTTAGCTTTGAAAACTTTTCTAAATTTCCAAATCTTTTCTACAAGCATTAATAAATTTAATGAAGGTAAAAGTTTTTAATACATTAAACAAATAATTAGTTTTGTAGGCAAAACCGTTTAATTTTGCAGTTCTCATTTAGTTAAGCCAAATTGGGGTATAATACCCAATGAAGGATCTGGAAGAAAGCAGAAGTCTTTCGAGGCTTTATGCGAGTGTCCACCCCCATATGTCAATTGCTCCAAAGTTTGACCTCCAGCCTCACCCCTCGACAACTATTGCTGGGAATTAATAATTAAGTTTCGATCCGCAGAGCCAATGCCAAAACTCCGGCCACTCAGCTCGTCGGTCAAAACCTCACTCGAAACCCAGAACTCTCTCGCTCCCTTTCTAACTCTCCTCTGTCCCTTCCTCCCACCCACAATGTGACGTGTGCCTGGTCCACTGAACCGTAGCCCCGCTTTCCCCTCTTTTATTTGCTGGAACCGCTTCCAGAAAACCGAAAAGTGCCAATAAATATGGAAACGTTTTGCCTTGTTCTGCCCACTCTTCCTCCCACTCTTCCACCCACTTCCTCTTCCCTCCTTTTTAGCCACGTCTTCTGCTCCTTCTTCGGCTCTCGTTCTACTGCACTGAAAAAAAAAATTACCACAATGATTCTTAATGGTTTTTAATTTACAGATGGTTTTTGACAGCTCAATATAAAACAGACATACTTTCCTACTTTCTTATATAATACAAAACGAAACGATTATTTTTTTTATTTTTACTTGTATATAATATGAATTGTCTTAGCTTTTATATTAGATTTATTTGTATTATGGTAAACTTAACATTTCTTTTCAATTATTTTCCTTTTGACATTAATTTGAACTGGGTAAAATTCAAAATTGCGCAACTTAAAAGTTCTATGTTTCGAAGAATATAAATACCCACATTGAGAGATCGTTTTGATTATATTGATGTTATTTTATGAGTCCAGCTTACCAGTTTAGTTTATTTAATTTTACTTGGAATAGTAAACTTTTAGTAGCTTTTATTATTTCAAACGAAATGTTTAAATTGGTTGTTTTATATTATATTTAAATGGTCCATGTAATTTGATTAAAACCAAATATTACCGCAACATTTTTGTGGTAGGTATAAATTTATTATAACAAGTTTTTGCCAGTATATCCTTGCTCCTTGGCTACCTTTGCACTAATTCACATTTGATGTTTTGTTGTCTACGCTTGTTGCTGTTTGCCGCTTGCATTTTTCTGGTCAATGAGGTTACAGTCAAGTCACTACACAAGACCACCCCCCCCCCCCCCCAAGGGGCTGAAGATGCAGCAGCGACTGGTGCGGTCTTCAACCGGTCGCCGTCGGTCAGTCGAGGCTGGCAAACAGGCTGCCTCTGCTGATTTAGCTGCCGTTGGTTGTCCAGTCTAGCCACCCACCCACTCTGACTATCGGAGGTGTCGATGACGTCGTAGTTGTCTGGCTGCCCCCTTGAGTAACCCCCTTGAAAGCCACCAAGTTCGGTAAAGTATCTCTCGCTCTGCCTCCCGCACAAACCGAATCTGACTGCAACTGCCTACGCCATTTGATGGTTTTGTTGTTGCTTCTCTAATGTGATTTGCTAGGGTATGCACTCAGGCCTATTCGGTTGGCGATTACCAAGATTCCAAGGCCAAAGCCAAAGCCTAAACCAGACTAATGATTGAAAGGAAAGTGTGCGGACTTCAACTCAATATGTGATCGAGCATCACATTAATTTGAACAGGCATTGAGACGGAAAATAAATTGTTTTATTAATATTTAGTTAATGCTTAGATGGCACAAGAAACTTAAATTGGATTCAATAGCACTTTTAAGGGCTTCAATAAAATAGCTTTTGATGAAACAAAGTTATATTAAAGACCAAAATAAAGTGATGTAATAAATTTTATTGTTTTGGTAAGTTTTATTTTCCCATGGTTCAAGCAATAGGTCCTTATAAAGCTTTTTTATTTTTTATAGAATTACTTTCTCTTAAGAAAGCGGCATAATACATTTTGTACGTTTTTTAGAGTACTCCCGATTCGCACATCTTGAAAACTTACTTTGTTCATCGTTCATTCTAGTGGTTGCTGATTTTGTTTTTGGCCAATTTTGGTCAATATTTAAGTGCCGTCCGATGCTTCCACTTCGGCGGGCACTTCACTGCTATGTCGTTCCATGTCTACGTCTGGTCCACATCACCTCATCAACTTAATTTTCCGAATTTTCACGTTGTCCATCTCGCTCACTCCCTCGCCCCGTCTTTGTCTTTTATGTCTAATTTTGTGCTGCATTTCACCGGCAGCTATAAAAGCGTATTACCGTTAAATGTTGCACTGTCGAGTTGTCGTCTAATTTACGTTACCCGTCGGCCAAGGGGAAAATGGGTGGTGGGAAATGGGCGGTAGGCGGTGGGCGGTGGGTTTTGTGACTGGGGCTGTGGCTGTGGTCGAGGATGCGGATGCAGTGGGGCCACTGCCCACTTTCCATCTTGGCTTGATTGTCATTGCAGCTCGCCGGTCTGGCCGGCAAACTGATTAAATCCAGCACGCGCCCTGCGGGCATCTTGGGAAACTTCTTCAGCAGCAAATCGAGAGGCCCGAAAAGGGGTATCAAGGGGGATATGGGGGGATAAGTGCACACAAAAAAATGTATGTTCATTTTATAGGGAAATTAAATGCTGATATAGTAAAATATGTATCATTACACACACATTTAAATAGCGCTAGATCTAGTTACTACAACTGCAAGTATAAGAAATGCAGACAATATATTCTCGGAATACCGATACTAAAAGGCGATCTCAATATTATACCAATTGAAAAAGTCATTGACTTACAACGTTACTTAAAAATCTTACTTAAAAAGCAGTTTGAAGTGATCTTCAATTAATAACCATTTCTTGATATACTGAATCAGCTATAATCCATTGTAAACTAGTGAACTTACAAAATGGTGAATACAAAATTGGTATTAACTTAACATCTTTTTGCTGTGTATTAATAAAAGGAGTTTGTGTGGAGAGGGTGGTGGTAACTCAAAGTCATCAGCTTAGACGGGCCAGAAACTAGACGCTCTACATAAATTTGAAATTAACGTTTTCTAGCACATCCTACGTCTTCCTCTCTCTTTCTGTCCAATCTCCGTGTCTCTTTCTACACACTCTCTCCTTCTCTCTCTAACTAGAGCTTACATGCTTTCTGTAATTATCATTTGCCAGTCCGTTTGCCTTGGAACACACACGCAGACCAGCGCCTTGACTCAATCTTAACTTGGCTTTCGGGCGTACTCCATAGACCAACCCCCAACCCCGAATCCCCTCCCCTAACCCACCAACCGACCGCCCGTAATTAAATGCAAATCTCTTGTCCCCCGACTGCTTCTAATATATTGCCATAGTGCCACGGGGCAAACTGTGGCCACATTTTCAGCAACGTTCCGAAACTTGTCAGCACCGTTCGCTGGTGTAAGAAAAATGAAGTGAAATACTTGAACGTGTATAAACCAAACAACATTAAAATTATCGCCACAAAAAGCCATAAAGACCATAGAGCTAAAGGATCGCCCACGACACCGGATCAAAGGTACTCTTTCGGGAAAATATGTTATTTTACATGTCAGAAAATCTATTTCCTTTAACCTTAAAGAATACCGCCCCATGTTCCTAACCATTTAAGCAGCTTTGACACTTTAAAGGTAGTTTGATTTCATGCTGTTTTTTAAATATAAAGGTTTTTATATGCAAATATTTTGTAACATTGATGTTACAATGATATTAATTAAAAAGCGTCATTAAAAAAAACTATAAATAACAAAGGAAAATTTTAAAAAAATTGTTATAAATTAAATAATATATTTAAATAATATATTTAAAATAAAATCAATTAACAAATCGAATTCTAAGAACAGGTAAAATGCACCAAATGGGGAGTCAATGACAAAGAGGGGGAATGTAATTAAGAGTGCGCAGACTTTGTAGCTTTTGTTGGATGG